AAGAAATGGAAGTTTGAGTACCAGGATAATTTAAACTTGTGATATCAGAAGAGCAGTCTCTCACTGTTGCACTGCCTCCTGATTAGAATATGTAGATGCAGTATATTCATTTAATCTATCTTTTTGGCTAGGCTGGATACCAGTGACATGTATAATGAATTGAAAGAAGCCTTTCCTAATCATCTTCCCTTGTATGTTGCAAGACTCCATCAGCTGGATTCTGAAAAGGTGAGTTCTGTTTTTTTTTTATTTAATATTTGTTTCACTACATCTTGCCTGGAGATAGGAGATTAAATCTGAAGATTTCTTCTTTACTGTTCTTCACAGATGCCTAGACTTGAAGTGACTGCTCTGGCTATACTGAGTGCAGTGAGCTAGAAACTTTTATCTTACTCAGAATCAAAAGCATTTACCATTGCAGAAACCAGTGCATTTTTACAAGGCTATAAATGTGAATGCTTAGCATCTCTTTCATTGTTCCCAGCATATCAGAGAAACAGCTTGATTGGTTTATTGGTTGTTTGTGGGAAAAATTACTGAGGTAAAGAAAAAGTAAAGAAAAATGGGTTTTCTATCTAGCTCTGAAAGGAGTGAGAAGTCTATGGTTGCCTCTTCGTTGCAGGAGTGAATTTCATAGTTTAGTTTTTTCTCCTGTTAAAACTCTGTCTTCTGCATTCATGAACTTCTCATGATGATTGACAGTTTCATGTTTCCAGTGCAATGTGGCTGATGTGTGGGAGATTAGGATCATGGAGAAGAGCAATCTCTTGGGTAGCTAGGATCAATCCCAGTGACCTTTACTTGGGGAAGCATTTCAGAAACCAGAGCACTGGGGTCAGATCAGTGTGACCAGTGTAGCTAACTACACAGGTTGGTGCATTTTGTGCCAGATATAGGTTTTTCAGACTCCATGGCTTTATTTCTACATATGAGTTGCTATAATCAAGCTTGGAGTTTGTGAATGCAAGGATCAGTGTGGACAGGTTAGTGTCTAATGTTGAACTCTTAAAAAAGAGGAAGTGTTTCAGTCCTGCTGCCTTGTTGCAGATATTTGAAGTGTATCAAAGCACTTCTGTATTTGTATACTTTTCAAAGTGAATGCTCAATCTATAGCCTTTTATATGAAAGGGTTTTGTTTTTGTTTTACTCTAGGGAGGCTTACAAAGTACTGAACTCAGTATTTGTAGCTCTAGCTTTTTGGAGAGCTCCCTCAGATGGCACCTTCTTCTCCCCTTGAATAGCCATTCAGATGGATACAGTTGGAACCTGTTACATCATTTGATACTGATTGAAAGATGGAGAGGGATTCCTTCCTGGTTGTCAGCACAGCCGAGCAAAGTTTTTTCCCAGTCTCTCACTGATTAAATCTTAGTCCCAAGATTTAGTATGATGTACGGGTAGGGTGACTTCTTGTTAATTCCATCTTCTGGGAATGGACCATCTAGCAATGGGTTGGCTTAATGGTGACTTGCATTGCTTTTGGAGATCTAATCCAAAGGTCAGTGGCCTTAGACATAAACTAAAAAGCCCTTACAGATGGTTTCTTCATGAGATAGACTAACTGTTCTTGAGGTGGAGGGTCTGCTCACATATCTTTCAAGTGAATAAGTGCTTACCCTCCATTTTCAAAGGTAGACTGCTCAGGTCCTTAGCAGATGATGGTCTTGTCCTCTTTCTGTAGCACACAGCTGTTGCACAAATTCTCTCTGTTCATCTATCTCCTGTTCATCATGATAATGTGAGCTCCTAACATTCCACCTTCTTTCTCTTCTTTTGGTGCTAATTCTTTCTTTTGCAGGATGCACCGCCTCAGACTTGATACAAAACTTCAGAAGCCCAATCTCTTTTATGCATAGGAAGCCTGGATTCTGTATCCCTAGCTAGCTTGTCTCAAATCATGATCACCTCTTCGGCTGCTGTCTGTAACCCCATTCTTCTTCTTTCTTGTGTCACTAAGATTGTACGGTTGGTCTTGTGGTTTGGCCTTCTGGTTAAGGCACTGTACTGTGACTTGGGATATCTGGGATCAGGCCCCAGATCCCTCACATATCTTGTGTGACGTACTGGGTCTTTGCCATCTATAAAATAAGTACTGACACTTTCATTGTCTGTCTTGCTTTTTTAAATTACAATCTCCTTGAAGTTGGGATCTCCATCTTACTATCTTAGGGTATGTCTACACTACGGAATAAGGTCGAATTTATAGAAGTCGGTTTTTTAGAAATCGGTTTTATATATTCGAGTGTGTGTGTCCCCACAGAAAATGCTCTAAGTGCATTAAGTGCATTAACTCGGCGGAGCGCTTCCACAGTACCGAGGCTAGAGTCGACTTCCGGAGCGTTGCACTGTGGGTAGCTATCCCACAGTTCCCGCAGTCTCCACTGCCCATTGGAATTCTGGGTTGAGATCCCAATGCCTGATGGGGCTAAAACATTGTCGCGGGTGGTTCTGGGTACATATCGTCAGGCCCCCGTTCCCTCCCTCCCTCCGTGAAAGCAACGGCAGACAATCATTTTGCGCCTTTTTTCCTGAGTTACCTGTGCAGACGCCATACCACGGCAAGCATGGAGCCCGCTCAGGTAACCGTCACCCTATGTCTCCTGGGTGCTGGCAGACGCGGTACGGCTTTGCTGCACAGTAGCAGCAACCCATTGCCTTCTGGCAGCAGACGGTGCAATACGACTGGTAGTCATCCTCGTCGGGTCCGAGGTGCTCCTGGCCACGTCGGCTGGGAGCGCCTGGGCAGATATGGGCGCAGGGACTAAATTTGGAGTGACTTGACCAGGTCATTCTCTTTAGTCCTGCAGTCAGTCCTATTGAACCGTCTTATGGTGAGCGGGCAGGCGATACGGACTGCTAGCAGTCGTACTGTACCATCTTCTGCCAGGCAGGCAAGAGATGAGGATTACTAGTAGTCGTATTGTACCATCTTCTGCCAGGCAGGCAAGAGATGAGGATGGCTAGCAGTCGTACTGTACCATCTTCTGCCGAGCAGCCATGAGATGTGGATGGCATGCAGTCCTTCTGCACGTCTGCTGCCAGCCAAAGATGTAAAAGATAGATGGAGTGGGTCAAAACAAGAAATAGACCAGATTTGTTTTGTACTCATTTGCCTCCTCCCCTGTCTAGGGGACTCATTCCTCTAGGTCACACTGCAGTCACTCACAGAGAAGGTGCAGTGAGGTAAATCTAGCCATGTATCAATCAGAGGCCAGGCTAACCTCCTTGTTCCAATAAGAACGATAACTTAGGTGCACCATTTCATATTGGAACCCTCCGTGAAGTCCTGCCTGAAATACTCCTTGATGTACAGACACCCCCTTTGTTGATTTTAGCTCCCTGAAGCCAACCCTGTAAGCTGTGTCGTCAGTCGCCCCTCCCTCCGTCAGAGCAATGGCAGACAATCGTTCCGCGCCTTTTTTCTGTGCGGACGCCATACCAAGGCAAGCATGGAGGCCGCTCAGCTCACTTTGGCAATTAGGAGCACATTAAACACCACACGCATTATCCAGCAGTATATGCAGCACCAGAACCTGGCAAAGCGATACCAGGCGAGGAGGCGACGTCAGCGCGGTCACGTGAGTGATCAGGACATGGACACAGATTTCTCTGAAAGCATGGGCCCTGCCAATGCATGCATCATGGTGCTAATGGGGCAGGTTCATGCTGTGGAACGCCGATTCTGGGCTCGGGAAACAAGCACAGACTGGTGGGACCGCATAGTGTTGCAGGTCTGGGATGATTCCCAGTGGCTGCGAAACTTTCGCATGTGTAAGGGCACTTTCATGGAACTTTGTGACTTGCTTTCCCCTGCCCTGAGGCGCATGAATACCAAGATGAGAGCAGCCCTCACAGTTGAGAAGCGAGTGGCGATAGCCCTGTGGAAGCTTGCAACGCCAGACAGCTACCGGTCAGTTGGGAATCAATTTGGAGTGGGTAAATCTACTGTGGGGCTGCTGTGATGCAAGTAGCCCACGCAATCAAAGATCTGCTGATATCAAGGGTAGTGACCCTGGGAAATGTGCAGGTCATAGTGGATGGCTTTGCTGCAATGGGATTCCCTAACTGTGGTGGGGCTATAGACGGAACCCATATCTCTATCTTGGCACCGGAGCACCAAGCCGCCGAGTACATAAACCGCAAGGGGTACTTTTCGATAGTGCTGCAAGCTCTGGTGGATCACAAGGGACGTTTCACCAACATCAACGTGGGATGGCCGGGAAAGGGGCATGATGCTCGCATCTTCAGGAACTCTGGTCTGTTTCAAAAGCTGCAGGAAGGGACTTTATTCCCAGACCAGAAAATAACTGTTGGGGATGTTGAAATGCCTATATGTATCCTTGGGGACCCAGCCTACCCCTTAATGCCATGGCTCATGAAGCCGTACACAGGCAGCCTGGACAGTAGTCAGGAGCTGTTCAACTACAGGCTGAGCAAGTGCAGAATGGTGGTAGAAGGTGCATTTGGACGTTTAAAGGCGCGCTGGCGCAGTTTACTGACTCGCTTAGACCTCAGCGAAACCAATATTCCCACTGTTATTACTGCTTGCTGTGTGCTCCACAATATCTGTGAGAGTAAGGGGGAGATGTTTATGGCGGGGTGGGAGGTTGAGGCAAATCGCCTGGCTGCTGGTTACGCGCAGCCAGACACCAGGGCGGTTAGAAGAGCACAGGAGGGCGCGGTACGCATCAGAGAAGCTTTGAAAACCAGTTTCATGACTGGCCAGGCTACGGTGTGAAAATTCTGTTTGTTTCTCCTTGATGAAACCCCCCGCCCCTTGGTTCACCCTACTTCCCTGTAAGCCAACCACCCTCCCCTCCTCCCTTCAATCACCGCTTGCAGAGGCAATAAAGTCATTGTTGCTTCACATTCATGCATTCTTTATTCATTCATCACACAAATAGGGGGATGACTACCAAGGTAGCCCAGGAGGGGTGGTGGAGGAGGGAAGGAAAATGCCACACAGCACTTTAAGCACAGCACTTTAAAAGTTTACAGCTTTAAAATTTATTGAATGACAGCCTTCTTTTTTTTGGGCAATCCTCTGTGGTGGAGTGGCTGGTTGGCCGGAGGCCCCCCCACCACGTTCTTGGGCGTCTGGGTGTGGAGGCTATGGAGGAGGAGGGCGGTTGGTTACAGAGGGGCAGCAGTGGCAGTCTGTGCTCCAGCTGCCTTTGCTGCAGCTCAACCATACACTGGAGCATACTGGTTTGGTCCTGCAGCAGCCTCAGCATTGAATCCTGCCTCCTCTCATCACGCTGCCGCCACATTTGAGCTTCAGCCCTCTCTTCAGCCCGCCACTTACTCTCTTCAGCCCGCCACCTCTCCTCCCGGTCATTTTGTGCTTTCCTGCACTCTGACATTATTTGCCTCCACGCATTCGTCTGTGCTCTGTCAGTGTGGGAGGACAGCATGAGCTCGGAGAACATTTCATCGCGAGTGCGTTTTTTTTTCTTTCTAAGCTTCACTAGCCTCTGGGAAGGAGAAGATCCTGTGATCATTGAAACACATGCAGCTGGTGGAGAAAAAAAAAGGGACAGTGGTATTTAAAAAGACACATTTTATAAAACAGTGGCTACACTCTTTCAGGGTAAACCTTGCTGTTAACATTACATACATAGCACATGTGCTTTCGTTACAAGGTCGCATTTTGCCTCCTCCCACCGCGTGACTACCCCCTCAACCTTCCCCCCTCCCTGTGGCTAACAGCGGGGAACATTTCTGTTTAGCCACAGGCAAACAGCCCAGCAGGAATGGGCTCCTCTGAGTGTCCCCTGAAGAAAAGCACTCTATTTCAACCAGGTGACCATGAATTATATCTCACTCTCCTGAGGATAACACAGAGAGATAAAGAACGGATGTTGTTTGAATGCCAGCAAACATACACTGCAATGCTTTGCTGTACAATGATTCCCGAGTACGTGTTACTGGCCTGGAGTGGTAAAGTGTCCTACCATGAAGGACGCAATAAGGCTGCCCTCCCCAGAAACCTTTTGCAAAGGCTTTAGGACTACATCTAGGAGAACCGCAAATGCCAGGGCAAAGTAATCCTTTCACATGCTTGCTTTTAAACCATGTATAGTATTTTAAAAGGTACACTCACTGGAGGTCCCTTCTCCGCCTGCTGGGTCCAGGAGGCAGCCTTGGGTGGGTTCGGGGGGTACTGGCTCCAGGTCTAGGGTGAGAAACAGTTCCTGGCTGTCGGGAAAACCGGTTTCTCCGCTTGCTTGCTGTGAGCTATCTACAACCTCCTCCTCCTCATCATCTTCTTCGTCCCCAAAACCTGCTTCCGTATTGCCTCCATCTCCATTGAAGGAGTCAAACAACATGGCTGGGGTAGTGGTGGCTGAACCCCCTAAAATGGCATGCAGCTCATCATAGAAGCGGCATGTTTGGGGCTCTGACCCAGAGCGGCTGTTCGCCTCTCTGGTTTTCTGGTAGGCTTGCCTCAGCTCCTTCAGTTTCACGCTGCACTGCTTCGGGTCCCTGTTATGGCCTCTGTCCTTCATGCCCTGGGAGATTTTCACAAAGGTTTTGGCATTTCGAAAACTGGAACGGAGTTCTGATAGCACGGATTCCTCTCCCCAAACAGCGATCAGATCCCGTACCTCCCGTTCGGTCCATGCTGGAGCTCTTTTGCGATTCTGGGACTCCATCATGGTCACCTGTGCTGATGAGCTCTGCATGGTCACCTGCAGCTTGCCACGCTGGCCAAACAGGAAATGAGATTCAAAAGTTCGCGGTTCTTTTCCTGTCTCCCTGGCCAGTGCATCTGAGTTGAGAGTGCTGTCCAGAGCGGTCATAATGGAGCACTCTGGTATAGCTCCCGGAGGCCAATACCATCGAATTGTGTCCACAGTACCCCAAATTCGAGCCGGCAACATCGATTTAAGCGCTAATCCACTTGTCAGGGGTGGAGTAAGGAAATTGATTTTAAGAGCCCTTTAAGTTGAAATAAAGGGCTTCATTGTGTGGACGGGTGCAGGTTTACATCGATTTAACGCTGCTAAATTCGACCTAAAGTCCTAGTGTAGACCAGGGCTTAAAATCTTAGAGTTTAAGGTCAGGTGAGACCTAGATCATCATCTGATCTCCTGCACATCAGAGGCCACTAAACCCCATCCAGTTCCCCCTCTGTTGAGCCCAATAACCTGGATCAGAGTAAAGTATTACAGCCCACAGGAGACTAAACTGTTGTTTGCCATAGGCAAAGCATAAGAGGGACTCAGGTCCACCAATGCCCAAGGCCTTGCAATGAAAGTCAGGGAAATGATTTGGCAAGATACCCTAATAATCCTAGCAAGTGACCCACACTCCAGGCTGCAGAGGAGGGTGAAAAATCCAAGTTCCCTGCCAGTTTGGCCTGGGGGAAAAATTACTTCCAAAACCTGAAAATAGCAATTTGACTCTGAGCATGTGAGCAAGATCCACCAGCCGGATATGAGAGAATTTTCACTACCACTTCAGAGCACCAGCCTGCCTGTCCAGTATCCCATCTCCAGCCATGGCAATCTGTGCTTCAGAGGCACAAAACAAACCCAGAGCACCTTGGAGGTGAGGAAAAAATATTTTCCTTCCTGAGCCATGCAGACCACATGAAGCTTGTTGGGGCCTATAGGCACGACTGGAATATAAAAAAAATAGTAAGTTCTTTGTGTCAAGGACTTCTAAAATACGGGTTTGTATGGCACTAAGCACAATATGACCTCAGTCCTGTCTAAACTATAGAAATGTAAATAAGTAAATACATTTCAGAAACTATTTGTATTGCCATGTACTTGTGACTTCAGTAATGTTAATAATATAAAGTGTTAAATGGGGTGACTTCATTTTGCCAGTTTCACATTTTTCTTTTATTCCTTTTCATTCAGGAACGAATGAAAAGGCTCGATGAAATTATTGAAGCTGCAAATACTGTTATCTCGCATATTGATCAAACAGCGTTAGCAGTTTATTTTGCCATGAAGACTGATCCCAGGCCCGATGCAGCTACTATAAAAAAGTACCTAACCAGTAAATACTCCTTCTTGTATCCTATTTCTGTAGTCTATAGATATAATTACCTTTTCTACATACAAGTATTCTAAAGGATTCTGAAAGCTGATCTAGATTTGTTAATATGATGATGAAGTAAAAGTTAATTTTTTGAGGTTCAAGTGGAAACGGTTATTCAAGTCAAGTATTTTTAGAGTTTTGTGTATTTTCTGAAAGCAGAAAGACACTGAAAAACTTAAAATTTTGCTCAGAAGAGGTCAGATAAGATTACAAAAGATGGCTTTCAGATCAGAATTGAGATACATGGGCAAAGCTGTGTGGGAAAGTTTGCACTGTGCTTAGTCTCATCAAGTTCATAAACATTCAGAATAATCAGTGGACTGGTAGTATTTGGCTAGCAAGGCACTCCTGTAGGAATAAGTGTAGGGTTTTGCATGATATGGTGGGACCCTCAAAATTCTTTAAGGATAGTTCCAAGATGCTAGTGAACAGTACCTGTTGTTTGATAAAGCCACTTTGAAGTGCTCACAAGTTTTTATAGAGTGAGTCAGGAAAGAAAGACTGGTAACCATGGCTATATCTGTATTCAAATGTGGACTTTTTCTCTGTGGAGTTAGTACACCATAACATTCTTTTGGAGTGTCGGTATTTTCAATGGAAGGTCCGCACTTCAAAGATAATGATGTACTACATTTTTTTAATTAATCATTTCAAAAGCCCCTTTTATGCTGATCCATTTTGACGGGGGAATAGCAAAGAGCACCTAATTTGAAATATAGGGACTGTGAAAGGAGGTATACATTTGTAAGTTACTTACATATTGACCCTGGTTAATTATATCATTAACCTAGTTGCTTGGAGTGGCTTGTACATAACTGTATATTTGCTGGATTTAAAAATAATTAATCATTTCCATTCCAAGCATTTCTTGGAAGAGTCAACCAAGAAATGATCTGGTGGTCTTCTAACAACTGAAACTGAGAACCAAATTCAGTGCTGGCTTAAGTGGGTGCAATTCTTTTGAAGTCACTGTCGGCTTCCATTAACAGTGGATTGGCCCTCTTTTCATACTACCAAGAACTAATAAAATACATTTCTAGATCCTGACTTCTTGTTAAATTCTTAAAATTTGGTTTGCACTTCTGTTCAAATACCAGAGACAGTTCAGTTGCTCCTGAAGCTCTAGGCTTGATTAGAATCTGTATGTTGCGTGAATGTATACTATATCCATATATTTTGAGCCAGTTTAGAATTACAGGAAATAGTTTATTTTCAAAAATGCTGTATTTTAATAGGATAGCTGAAAATTGCTTATACTTCTATTGTAAATACAAATCAACAAGTATGTTTAGTTTACTGTGATTTTTAAGGTAAAGTTAAATTATTGGCTCTTGATTGAAAACTAATAGTTGTAAGAGACCCCTTGTATTTGTGTTCAACTTAATGTAGTGATATGGAAAAACAGAAGTCTACCTTAGTGGATGCCCTTTGTCGGAAAGGAAGCGCACTAGCAGACCAACTTCTCCATCTGCAGGCCCAAGATGGGGCTGTTTCAAGTGATGCTGAAGGTAAAGATGACGATCAAGAGAGCTGCATAGGTGTTCTGTCAGAGACTTTCTGGGAGACAACAAAATGGACTGATCTTTTTGACACCAAGGTAAGAGGACAAGCAGAAATTCTGTATTTTGCACTCTTGTTTTTTCCTAGTCTCTTGTGATGAAATTTAACACCATCTTTGTGTGTGGCTTCCAGGCATCTCTCCCTTCCACTCCCTAGTTCTGTCCCCATATGTTGTGCCAGCCTCTCTCAAACATTTTTCCACAGGTGGGATCTCTCCTAGGCTATCAAGTGCAAGGCAAATAAATCTGTCTGCTCCATATACATATGGGGACGGTATGGAGCAGTAACTGCAGGCTTGTATTAACAAACTGCTTCATTTATCGAGTTACTAGTTTACTATTCCTTTCAAGGAATAGTTCAGTTGCTGTCCAGTACAGCACTTCTAGCCTTTCAGCAGAAGTGTGTACAGCCCCTGTTCTGTGCTGGTCCTGAGTCCGTAGCATTTTCTAGATTAGGAATGAAAGAAAAGCCTGTGTTCCTTAGCTGTGGCTAAGGGTGCAATGGGAGAAACCCTCTCTGGAAGTTGAATTACCATTTGGAACCTGTTAGCAATTACAGTCCTATTAAGTTTCAAGTTCTTATCAGGGTAAGGTCCCTGTGTCCTTCAGCACAGCTGTTTCAAAGGAAACCATCAAATTCCAATAATATATATGATTATGTAACTGATTAGGTTATTACTGATTTCCTTCTTTAACTGGTGTGTTGCTATGCACTGTGTTTCACATCAGACATGGCTATATTGCAGTGGTGAATGAATTTTTCCATGTATTTGTATGAATTTTGAAATTATGAAATTGTATGAAATTTGAATTATGAAATTCACTTTGGAATCATTTGAAATGAAAACTGTTGAATAAATCAGAAGAAATGTTATTCTTTTATTCCTTCCTGACCCCCACTGATGATTCAAGCGATAGCCTGATGATTGATTATTTATTCAAGCTAGCTTCTTTGTAGATGTTTTTATTTGTGTACGTCTTTCATCGGTTGATTCTCAAGCCACAGTGATGTCCTGTGCTATGCATTAACAACAACATGCTACACAGTTTAACTTTCTTGCCTTTTAATTTCAACCATGCTCTCATATTATGAGAAAGGATACATAACATATTCAGGAGTGTCCAACTGACCTTCTCTATACCATTTATTATTAGAGCTCAGTGGACCATTTTCAGCAAATGAAATTTTGCCAAAACATGCCGTTTCATCAAAGCCAAAAATGTTGTGGAGATGTTATTGGTGTTGAGCAAGATGTTGTAGGGAGAAACTGACTGACTTTTTGTGGTCGCAAGGGACTAGAGAACTGGGATGGGATGTGGGAGACCGAGGTGCAACTCCCTGCTCTGTCTGATTCAGAGTGATACCTGGAATGAAAAAGTGAATCAGGCAGAGCAGGGATTTTGAATCTGGGTCTCCATCCCAGGCCAGTGCCCTAACCACTAGTTCTCTCCACATGCAGACATTTAGGTTTCATGTTGACACAATTAAGTTTTCGCAAAAATGTTTAGAGGATTTTTTTTGTTAATTTCAAAGCGCTGAAAGTTTCTGCAAAACAGAATTGTTCTCCTGTCAGCTCTCCACTGTTCCATATACCTCATATTTTCCTCCTTTACAAACTGAATAGTAGTCCTACTCTTTAATACTTCCTCTTATGGAAAAACCTTCCCC